ATTGCTGGCTTTGAGATCTTTGATGTAAGAAGACAGTTTTCCTTAGACAAGTTTTTAATAGAAGTTAGTGTCTTTCTACACATTTTTTGCAGGGCTTTTGGAATCACCTTCTTTAATCCTGCAAAAAAACCCAAACCAATAAACAGAATACTAATCTCCTAACTACGCTGAATTTGAGATTTTCTCACTTTTCTAAATTCATTGCATATCTTAAAGAACTTAGGAAAACTACACAGGAAGAGACTTTGTCTTTTAAGTATTACCCATGATGAATTAGGATTGCACAAGAAAACATATTTCTATTATTGGTGAGCCTTGAACATGTTGCATGTCTTTTTATGTCTGGCAGTTCAACAGCTTTGAGCAGCTGTGTATCAACTTCACCAATGAGAAGCTGCAACAGTTTTTCAACCACCACATGTTCGTGCTGGAGCAAGAGGAGTACAAGAAGGAAGGAATTGAATGGACATTCATTGACTTTGGGATGGACCTGGCTGCTTGCATTGAGCTCATTGAGAAGGTATCCTTCATGTTCAGGAGTATTGCATGTTGGATATTCCATGCTGGTCAAGAGAGATACTTAAGAAGCGTGTGAGAATACTCTGGCTTTTTCAAATATATACCCTCTGAAAGTGGCAACAAGGTGGAAGTATTTTTGGAGATCATACTCAAATATCAGGACTTTTGGTGTGAGTAATAATTTCCGGATTAAAAAATTCAGTTACATAAAAGGCTGTCATGTTTGTAAATACCCATCCGTGAAGAAGTTTTATGGAGAGGTTAGTGTTTCATGGTGTTGTATTTGTAGTTTTTCCATCAGCAAAGGCATTTACTTAAGTTAAAATTGAACAGTAACTCTGAAAAAGGTTTAGCCTTAGTTAATTTTCTCTGACTTATTGTCATGAAATGCATGGGAACTGCTTTCTCATCTGTCTCCAGCAACTTTCCAGCCAAGGGATGTGTCCTTTCTACTCTGTATCTCCCTCTTGTCTGTTGTGATGTCTTCCAGCCCATGGGTATCTTCTCCATCCTGGAAGAGGAGTGCATGTTCCCCAAGGCAACTGACACCTCTTTCAAGAACAAGCTCTATGATCAGCATTTGGGCAAGTCCAGTAACTTCCAGAAGCCGAAACCTGCCAAAGGGAAGGTTGAGGCCCACTTCTCCCTGGTGCACTATGCTGGAACAGTGGACTACAATATCACTGGCTGGCTTGAGAAGAACAAAGACCCTCTGAATGAAACTGTCATTGGGTTATACCAGAAGTCATCTGTGAAGACATTGGCCTTGCTTTTTGCAAGCTATGGTGGAGCAGAAGCAGGTCAGCTCTGTGAAAATTGTACTTTCAGTGTGGGACAACGTTGACGCAGAATTAAAGCAGTAAACACTAAACATTTAAAGTTGTTTTGTGTTCTGTAGTCTCCAATATGCAACATCCATATTTTAATACTTTTTTCTTTTCTTCTATTTGCAGAGGGTGGTGGTGGCAAAAAGGGTGGCAAGAAGAAGGGCTCTTCTTTCCAGACTGTCTCAGCTCTTTTCCGGGTACAGTACTGCATTTGTTATCTCTTTGTAATATGAAGAAAGAGGACGAGCTGCTATTAAATTTGAAAGGCATATTTTGCATTGCTGTAATGGTGGTAAAATTCTTTGAAAATTCCACATCAGGTTTTCCAGGATTAATTTCAATGTTGTTAATATGTTGTGTTAGAAAATAAGCATTCAGTCTTCAAAGATCATGAAAATTTGTTCTCTTTTCTTTTGTTTTGTTTGCTTTTTTTTGTTTGTTTGTTTTTTTGTTTTTGTTTGTTTGGAGAGGATATTATTCAGATCTTTATATTTTTATGTCTTTG